ATTTAGTTAGTTCTTAAATATAACGAATATACATTATTATCTCATATATCTAAGTATATGCTCTTATAGCATGAATATAGTGAAATAATTTTATATTATGTATGATATATTTGTTAATATACGAAACGTTTTACATATTTCAATAAAAAAATTTTATCTATTATTGAATTTATTATTTCAATTTATTATATATTTTTTTAATATTTTAAATACGTTAATGTAGTTAATGATTTATTTAATGAATGTATAAATAAACTAATAAATATCAGCATAGAAGAAATTATTATATTCTTTAATTTTAGAAAAGTATTTAAAATTACATCTATTTTTTTTCGTTATATAACTTTACCATACATATGATGTAATGTTACGATGATAAATATATATTATTATGTTATATTTTTTATAGAAAACTTCATATTACAGACAAGCATATGTATAATTTTAAACTGTGCTATTATAAATATTCGAAAATAGTCTTATGTATTTTTATTTTAAGAAAGATTAAATTAATATAAAATTGTTACATAATTAATGTTTCAAATATTTATCACATACAGATATTTATTGTGAATAAAATCTATGCTAACATATAAAAAAAATAAAATTAAGTAAATGTAAAAAGTTGAATTCATAAATCTTATAGAGAATTAAATAAAGACAATTAGCATAATAATAAATAAAATCAATCAAATGAATTTAATGAAAATAATAAATTACTTGAGATGTGACGCCATTGCCCTTTTAAAATTATAACTAGTTATTTTGAAATGTGCATATAAGAAATTTTTAATTAAAATAATATAATTTTATGAACAATAATGTGTATGAAAATAAAATATGTAACGTTAAAAGATATTTGTCTTGCTTATATTCTTATATTTCCTCATATTATACTTGATTCAAGATATTATTCTATAATAAACTATATGAACAAAATGAATTTTTTATTGACGCGTAATAAATTCTTTATTATCATTATCCAGGATTATTAATATTCTCATAAGAGTTCTTAGAAATAATATTTTAAAAAAAGGGGACGAGAATCCACCATATCTTATTATTCTATCTATTTAAATTTTATATAAATAGTTCATAGTTTTTTATAATAATACAACGGATATTACATATATAATAATAATATCATAATACGTATTTTATTAGGGGGTTATAAAAAATATGTAATCCTCAATATTTATATATTAAATATTAATATATATATATAATTCAAGTTAATATTATGTTTTTTTATGTAGCTTTTATTTGTACAGCATATATGTTCTTCAATTTAATACATAAATTTTATAATTACAGTAATAGCACTGGAATTTTATAAAATTTTTTATTAAGGGAAATATGTACATTCATATATTTGATTCTATCAGAATCAAAAACATATTATTATTATTACCTGTTTACTAATAATATTATATTTCAATGAAACATTAGTACGTTCTTATATATGACAAGGTTTTTGAAAAGCTGTTACAAAAATCATTCCAATTTTAGTATACCTGATAAATATCACTAATTTTAGTTAAATTTTTTTTTCTTACATATGCATCTGATAAATGGGAAAATATTTGTTTTCATATATTGTAAGAATAAATATGTCTAATTTGGTGAATTAGAAAAAATAATTGTAATTTTTTTTTTACATATCTTTTTAACAAATGAATAAATATAGCACTGATAATACTTAGAAAAGTTGTCTATAAGAAATGATTTTTTCTATAATTATATTGTTAAAATATAATAATTTATCTATAGAAAAATTTTAGTGATATATCACGCGCCACAAAATATCCTCATCAAAATTTTAATAATGAATTTGGACATGATTGTAATAATAAATCATTCACATACACTGTATTTAATAAAAAGTTTTTATACATATTTTACATAATAAGTGTTATGTAAAATTATATTATGTATATGCTTATGTAGTAAAGACAATAATTTTTAGTCATACGATAAAAAAGAAATGTAATTTAATCTAAACAACACTAAGAAGCATTTAATTGTCCAGGGAATAATTGAAAAAATTAAAATTTATATTTATATGTGCTAGATTATATTGGTACTATATGTACAATACGCATTTTTTTTTATATTTTACTGTTATTTTATATTTTTTATAAAAAATTTATATAAACAACCTGTATAACATTTTATATTATTATATGTCTTATAAAAATATATTAATACTATATTCATTTGATGTTTATTCTTTTGTATTTTTTACAAAATAATGAAATAAACCACTTGTATAATAATACATATGTATTGTAACAAAAAAAACATAAAAACTTATACTTCCTTCAGAAATAAGAATTCCTGTATTGAATGTATAAAATGTCGTATTTTGTAAATTAATATCCCGAAACATAAGTGGATAAATTAATCATACGTATACATATGATATGATGCTATATAATTTATGATACATTTTAAAATTCTATAAAAGCTATATATTTAAAATATTTTATATAAGTTTTATACACAGTTACATCAAAGAAAATATACAGAAACAATTATGTATTAAATATATTATCTCAAGATGATATAAATATAATTTATTTTATTAAAGTAGACATAAGATAATATAATTATATCATTTTGTGTATTCTCATAATATATTATTTGCATTACGGTTATGTACATTAATTAATGTATATATTTAGGTAAACACGTTGAATTTTTTATGGATTTTATTATATCATGCTCTATATTAATTATAAGGAATAAAAAATGGAAATTTCATTTGTATAATATTTTCATATTTTGTCAAAAAGTAATTATTTAATTTTTCATAAAGATAATTTTTTTTATTGAATGTATAATAGGAGTTTAATTGCATAATACAGAAGGAAAAAATTAAATGAAATATAAAATATATTATATTTGTTGTAATAACGTAATTTAGCAGTAATTATAATATTATGGTGTAATAAAAATATATTTTTGCTACAGTTAATATGCTGAAATATAAAATAAACGTTAATTAGGGTAAAAAATCCTTATCAATTATAGTTGATCATACATTATGTGAAAATTGCTATTATATGATATAACTCATATTATTTAATAATTTATAAATACAAAAATTATTTATTTAAATATATTTTAAAATATATAAAATATATTATATAATTTTAATAAAACGTCTTGTGCAAAATATTTATGTGTTAATATTCTTATATAGTTCTACCTCAGTATTAGGTGTACAAATCAAGAGATATCTGCCAGTAGCATTTAAGAATTATACAATTTATATCTATATTGAAATAATGATTTTCACGTAGTTCTTATTATCAATGTATGTCTACCTACGTAATATGCTTTTTTATCTTTATATTGAATACTAATATATTGTTAAGACAGAATGAATAGATAAAATTTAGTTTCATATATTGCATAAAAAAGGTAATATTTATAAAACATACAATAATCTCTTTCATTTCTAATAATGAAGCATCAAATTATAAAATAAATCTGCTTATCCCAAAATATAAGCTCATTCTATACTCTAATTTATTCAATAAAGTAATTATAATTTTATAGTAAATGAAATAACTTCCCATAAATGTATATTTCAAAGATACATAATTAATTATAGCACTAATTTTATTACTCTAATTGAATTTGTTTCCATATACGTAATCTTCTCATAATACTCATAAACAATATAAGTAGAAACATATATAAGGGAATTTACGATTATAATATTTATTATTCTTCTACTACATAATATTATTTATTTTGAATAATATTCTAAATATATAATGCATATATGAATAAGATATATATTATAATTAGTTTTGATGCAAATAAAAAAACATTGATATAAAAATAATGATCATAAAAAACATATAAATACAAAACCTTTAAATCAGAATCTATACCCAGAAGCCAAAAAATTAAACTTAAACCTAAAGTCTAAACCCTGATACGCAAATATTATACATTTACGCTACGATAAATGAATAATTATTATTATTAAAATTCACAAAGAAAAAAAATATATAAATATAAAAAAATGATTATAAACTAATTTGATTGTGACTAATGGCATATAATGTGAATATATAAATTTGTTATGTCATGAAATTTATTTTTTATGACCATTAACTAAGTATTTTATTAAGATTTTCATTATTGCACATAATAAATCATATGAATATGGAATTCAATAAGTTTCATACTCATAACTATTTAATTGTATGTTTATATTTTTTTATCAAAAATATATGCATACGTGTGATAATTATACTATCAACAATATGATAAAATCTGTTCATACGATAAAACAAATTATGGACAATAAATAAATTAATTAAGAATAAATATATATATATCATTATAATATTAATTAAAATTAATTTTTGTATTCGAATAGAACTATATATAATATTAGATCATTCATGCATATTGAATAATATGTTTATGACTAGTTCAAGCAAATTATATTAAGTCATAATAATGTAGTTATAAAAGCTATTATGTAAGAATAACAGAAATATTATTGTTTTAACCATAAGCATTAAGCATTTTTATTTTTTTAGTATGCGCAAAAAAAAAAAAATATATATATAAACTTGTTGGTCTAATATTACTGATTATATGAATGTGCATTATTTTTAATTTCTTACATGGAATTACTACTTTATTATCATGGTGGTGTATGCATAAAAATAATATATGACTAATGTTTATTATATTATAATAGTATATGCATTATAGTTTTTTAATTAATTTTTCCTACTAAGAATTTATATAAAAAAAATTAGTTGCAAACCAGAACGAGCAATATTGCAATAAATTAATGTATAATAGGAGAAAAATAAAAATTTAGTTAAAATTTTTTTTTCCAAGCTTACACATTATTTGAATTAATATATGATATATCAATATAATATATTTTCTCAATATTTTTAATGAATAAAGTTTTCCATAATATATATAAAATTGCTTGTATTAACTAACAAATATAAAACATAATGAGTGCATCTGATGAGGTAAGTGACAATTCATGCCTACACGTTTTCATAGAAATATAACTTATATTATATAAATTTATAAAGCATATATTTGTGAAAAATTATAAATAGTTATTTTAAAACTTTATATATTTTTCATATTCATATCTTAGTTTCATTTTAAGGACATATTACCCAATTGTAGAAATGATTTTAATAGATATGGTAAAGATAATCGAAATTGGCCTTATAATGCTTATTCATTGTACTGTACTAAATTTTGTACACGAATATTATGTGCTAGGAATTCGCAGAATTTTAATAGATCATGTATGGATATTCTGTTCTATTTATATTATTTAAATAATAGTAAAACCATGGACAACTTTCATCTAGAACAAAGTTGTAAATATTTCTTTTACAAATTGAAAGAACTATTGAAAATATATGGAGGTAAATGTGGAACAACAAAAGATTGTTATGAAAAATTACGTCTTAAAATATGGAATGTTTATTATTTTGGAGTAGATATCCCTAATATATGTCTACAATATACCGAAAATAATGATATTGATGAAGATACATATACTAAATTCAAAAATCTGGAGAATCTATATAATATTTATGGAAAATTTGAGGAACGTCAGAACAATTGCCATTCAGTTACTAGTACAATTTTACAGTATTATAACTTTTTACAAAAATGTAGAAATGGAAGAGAGAACAAAAGTTTTATTCAAGAATTGATAAAATTTGAAGAAAAATACAATAAATATATTTAGAAAAAAATTCATGTGAACCTCCTAAGACTGTACTTCCAAGTTCAGTCACGGTTGCAACGAAAGATCCAGGGACACATGTATTGACGAGTACAAAGACAACTGAAGGGACATCTCCAGTGGCAAATGCAGTGTCAGATGGATGGACACACACACGAACGGGTGTGGGTGTATTCAGAGTTGTACTTTTAATATATATGTTCATTATGTATAAGGTTAAA